AGGAAGACTATCAGATGTTTATTTTCCGCTTTTGATATACGAGACAAATTCTGGCAATTCTTACACTTAGATATAGCTATTAGTACATCTAGAAACATCCTGAATTCTCAGGTGTTTTTCTCCCCGTATTTGCAATATAATTCTTTCCTCCTCTCCTAAATATGCGCTTGCAGCATAAAGAAACAACAGCAGCAATACTTGACACTGACTTTCATTTTACCAAAAGGTTACCAAAAGAAACAAAAGCAACTTCAGAAGCAGGTTGCTTTCTTGTGTGGATTCCTTGTCAGTTTAGAGATCAATCACAGAATTGGCAGAAATTCAGAATTTCTAAAAATCATATATTGGAATCAGAAACATTTTTCAATTTTTTTCAAATGCTTTTTCTTGGCAGAGGTTGTGGATTAACTCGGCTATTCCTGTTTTCTAGCAGGTCCATGAAGACGAAGTGCCTTTAGTCACACCTACATCACAGATGTGAACATACACAGCGACTACAGGAAAGCTGCCATAATACTTGGGTTGCCTCAATCCCACATCACAACCCTTATACCTCAAGGTCACACTATTCTCCAACAGCTTAATCCACTTTGGGACACAGAAATACTTTAAATATAGTTCTCATTATACACTATGTTTTAAACACATTTTTTCAAATAGCTGTGTAAGAGTAAGATTCATATACATAAAACGATAATGCACATTATAACTCTAGAGAGCCATCATATATATCTACACATAAAAGATCAGAATCAGAAATATAAACCCAAAAAAAATAAAAAATAAGTGGAAAAAATTAAACAGATAAAGAAAATGAAATGTTATGAGTCCATTTAAGATTTGTAGCGTAACACAAAGTACACAAACCCAAACTCTTGGGTTACATATTTTTCCCCACGCAAATGAAAAAACAACTAATAAGCCCTTTCAGACCACACTCTCACCAACCAGCTAGCAGGTGGGTGAAGTGATTCTGTCTCTCCTACTTAAGTTGAGAAAACTTTCCATCTGCTTTGGATCTGCATGAAATATTCACAAATGTGAAGTAATACACAGTGGACTAAAAAATAATAAGCTCAAGAAGAAAAATAACGAACTTGATCAAAATTGGAAGAACTATGAACTCACTTCCATCCTAAAGATATCCAAACAACCTAAGGACTCTGTTATAAAAATGAACATAATGCTTAGAAAACAGGAAAGAACAGCAAGACATAAATCAAATAAAAATATCATGACCGTGGGCTTTAGAAAACAGCATGACTCGTACAATTGTTTGTGTACTGAGTTCTGTTCCTACAGCCCTTTACAGAGCTAGATAACTCCAGGCAGCCTAAAGGACACAAAACACACACTTGATGTGTCCTTAACCAGTGCAGGTCTTGTTAGTAAGAGCTCAAGGTGGCCACTTGCTTAAAAAGTGAATTTTGACAGGTGAGAAAGAAATCAGCCATACTCTGTACTTTACAAGGAACAGGAAAGGAATTTTCACGTGAATTCAGGATGAACCAAGCTGAAACACAAGACCAGGAAAGGCATTATGAAACGTTTGCTGTGCTGAGGTTACAAAAAACGTTTGTCAATGTAAAGTTCACAACCACATAGAATGGTCTGTGAAGAGATGATCAGTAAGGATAAAAACATCCCCTTGGGTATCAAGAAATTATTAGATGCCATGGAGTGGCCAGAAGGGATAGAAAACTGAAAAGGAAATACAGAATTGAAGGCTTTGACTTCTCTCCTGTATTCCTATGAGGTATTACTGTAAAATGTGCCTGGACTATGGCCTGGAATCAGACGTACAGTCAAACACATCCTTCAACTGAAGTCAGTTAACAGTAATGTACCAGAGGACAGGGATATCCTATGCACCTCCAGCAATGTGCTTTTAAATAGGATACAACAGTGCTGTGACTATTTTAAACAAACATCAGCTCTAAAATCTGTAAGAAGAGACAGGCTTTGCATCTGCAACAGACATCACCGGATTAAACATTTTTCTTGACTGAGTATATTCTGAACACCTATGAGCATATGGTGGGCATAAAGCTTCAGCATTCTTCCAGTAGCACCACAGACATGGCTAAAAGAGAGCTGGGATCTCTATAATTTAAATTAATCGCTTATTATGGGTATGAGGAGAGGTGCTGTGGGAGTACTACAGCCTCAAATAACAACTGAGAGCAGCCATTTGAGTCGATGTAATCCACGGAGGCCTTGGGGCTGAGTCACGGAGTGCTTTACCTCTGCAGCGATGCCTGTCCCTCTCTGGCTGCTGACAGTATGAGGATCCTGACAGGGATCCAACTGATTGTCTCCTTCTCGAGGAGCTGCCCTGACTCACCGCTGTTTCATATCAGTTACAAGTTTCTGCACATAAGGCCACAGCAAGACACAAAACCATTTTGAGTCTGGTTTCTCATTTTTCTCTGTCACTCTATCAAGAAAGCAATGCCGGACCTCCAGCGCTCAGTCCCTGGCCAGCAGCACCACCAGCTCCCACTGCAGAAGGAGCGCACGTTACCTGCCAGCAGCGCCTCTCTGCAGGACACAAAGGGGGTGCAGGGCTCGCTGCAGCTTTTCAGCCGGGCCTGAGGTTTGAGATTAGTCGGTTTTGGCAATGGTTACATGGGGGTGATCACGGATTTCCAAATCTGCATAGGACTGCCCAGCACCCCTCACGTAGTCATACCTAATTCTTGGCTGCACTCAAGTTTAAGAATAGCCTGGGTTGGTCTGCAGACACCAACCGGAGGACAGTGAGATGGAGAGATCACGGATCACACATTCCCTCAACTGCAACAAATGCCTTCCCAGAGGGGAGGGGCTTGGGCTCACCCATGCCATTATGCCTGCCACCCGGACCCCACAGCCCCCGTCTGTCACCAGGGAGTGAGGAGCTGCAGAGAGGGAGAGATACTGCACTGCTTGGGAATGCAAGGGGTGCAAGGACGTAGCAGTGGAAAGGTAATTGGGAAGGAGGGAATAAAAATTACCTTTGACATTTCCCCCCTCAGAAACGTGCTCTGTGTCAAAGCCAAGGCAGCAGCCTGCCGTGAAGAGCATTTTACTGAGAGCTCACCTAAAGCAGCTGTGAGAAGTCCTATACCATGTTAGCAGCCTCCTTCCTTCCCCACGCTGTGCCATAAGGGGAGAGCACGGCATCGTGGTATGGATGTCCAAACCCTGCTGCCCACACCAGTAAAGCGTATAATGAAATAGGAGCAAAGAGAGTAAGCAAGAGACAGGAGAGAGCAATACTGCGCTGTGGTGCTCCTGCGCAGAACCCAGCAGGTGCAAACTACTCAGACTGAATTTGGTCTCCATTAGAGGATAGCAGCTTTTACTGGCTATGTACAGGTAACTGGAAACGATGGTTCAACATTCTTTTCAGCTCTGCTGTGGTTCGCTAATTGGAAGGACAGTAAACAGGGAACATCTTGCTTCTGTTTGGAAAGCAAAATATGCAGCACTGGTTTCTGCAATCAAATCCCCAACCCAAAACATAATAGTCTTGATTCCCAGCTCCCCGATTTAGCAATTGCTGTTGTATATCCCTACAACATAATTATTTGCACAAATTATTTGCAAAATAGGGGTGCAAGATGCCTAGAAGAAATGTGCTTGACTGAGAAGATAAACAGTTTGGGTTTTTTTTCCAAAAATTGGGGACTTTTTTGTTGTGATTTTGTTACCTGGCAGGTAACAGAAATAATCGCTTTAGTAAGAATGCTGGTTAAACACTCACCAATTAAATTATTGAAACATAATTACTGTGCAAACAGCCTTCTCTCATATATTTTTAAAAGCACAGCCCATTAGTATGGTTG